CGAGCCATATCCACTGAATCAGTGTCAACTGTTAATCCCTGCCATGGCAGGGGCTTTTAGAGATGGGGATGCTATCTCACCACCTGTTCAAGTGATCCGGTCTACAATTTCCCGTGATTCTCAATATCCCGTTAAGTATCAGGAGCAACAACCGATCAGCCAAGGGAAAATATATATTGTTCCCTTAAAGGTACCGGAAATTTAACGCTCGAGAGTATCTGAACGCGAAGAGCTTAGCAGCGAAGGTGTAGCACTGCAGTCACGCACCGTTTGAAGTGAAAATACTTCACCGGGAGTGGCAGTGACTTAAACAAAGATGAAAGACCTAGCTCAGGGTATTGACGATCCTGACGGAATCTGTGCTACAAAGGAGAAGGATCCGCGAGCGAATGCTCCAAGAAACCAATGCTTGCAACCATGCAAAAGCGTACATGTGGAACAAGCAGATCAAAGATGGTGCCAATTATCGAGCATGTTAACCTGTCGGTCTGAAGCCACCACAACCCCCTCTCCGTGTGTTTGGTAGTTGTAGATATAGTAGATATAGATAGTAGTAGTAGTAGTATTAGTACATAGTTTCCATACTCTTATTCGCGTATGTTGACTGTTCACACCAATTGCGCAAAGCAGAAAAACGACTCCGAAAATCGGTGATTGCTTCCGTTTTGTTGAATTTATCTCGCTTATCCTTTGGTATTCGTTATTTTCCATGAAATAACACAACAAACCGTTTCTTGACTTTGAGAATTGCACAACTCAACCCGTGCACTGTACTCTTTTTAATATTTCCGAAAATACGTTGATTTGTATGCAACAGAAATTCCTGTGAAGACTGTCAGATGTTTGGTCCTCTTTGGGACCGGCCAACAGTGCTTAGTCGATTGCCCTGCCGAAAATTTAATCACCCTCATGACAGGTCTTTGTTTGACCGCCCTTAACCTTTTTCCAATCGCTACCTGCCTCGGCAACCTTCGCTCGCCGTGGCAACATATTTGGTGGCATGCATAACACATACCTCAACCAGCTTAACCTATGGAGGTCGATCACTTGCCCCAGTGGACGATCACCATTACCTAAAACTCTACGCCTAACCTCACCATTGCTCGTCCGGTTACCCCACCAGACTCGTGCAATACTGTGTAGACAGTGGTGTTCGAACACCGACAGTCTATTCTTTTAGCCTAGTCTAGTCTCTGCACCGTAGAGCAGTACTCGTTGAACTGCAGCAGCATACACTCGACCTTTCACACAGCCGGATTTCGCGACGACGCCACAAATTTCTTAAGTTGGCAAATACCAACCGAGCTTTTCTCATGCGCGTCGACACTTCCTCGGTGATGCTTCCGGCAGGTGAGATACAGCTGCCCAGATAACAAAATGTCTACTTTCCCAGTCAGGGTGAGACTAGGTGCTGGGCCAACCTAATCTTGTAGCAGTATTCCACGCTTTGTAGGTGCAAAACGCATACCGAATATGGCTACACTAGCACTCAAACGATCCAGAAAAGCTTACAACTTACCTGGATCTTCACTTAGTAGCATAATGTCATCTGCATACTCTAGATCAGACAGTCTTCCATCCGGGAGTAAATGGATACCACTATCCTCTCAGGAGGATAGGGCTGTTTCAAGAATTAAATCTATGACGAAGTTAAATAGAAACGGAGAGAGAGGGTGACCCTGACGAACACCACTTTCTTTTTTTATTGCACACATTTGTGTGTTGAACAGCAGACGGGGCAAACCCCATAGTGATGAAAACCTACTGTTCCGTCGTAGAAACCGGTAACCTAAGCCTCACGACTTGGAGTGGGGAGCCACATAAGGCCCCGATAGTTCAGGCGTGGTACTGAATCGGACGGCTTACGAACGGAGTGTCTGTGTTATAGACACTCCTTACTTAAACCCACCGGTCGATCTGAGTGAATGAAATGATCGGCTGAGTTAGTCATATTTTTTTAAAAAATTCGATCGTTTAACACTGAGCGTATCCCAACGTATCCGGAGCGATAAGGATGCAGATAATGCGTACAATTCAGGTTTTTTATGGCTAACACGTGGAATGCTTAGTTTTCACTGCACACGCAACACTGGTTCGTGCAGTGACGCATAAAAAACCCGGAAGACGGTGTCTCTTTCAACAAACAGGTTTCTTCTACCAAACGGTTCTGATCAGATGCAGATCACAGTAGTGAAAAGTATGCAAACTGTCGCACTATCCCGTTTAACAAACACCGGGATCTGGGACGCCAGTAATCCAGCAGGTAAGAATTGCGAGTAAGCAGGCACACCGCGCGGTGACTATGGGACCAATAAACCAATGTCAGACAGGAGTATATGCGTCTGTGATAGTCAACGCTGGGAAGTGACCTAGGGGGTACCAATCGAATTCCTGTAGGAACCCCGTGAAATGGCGGCCTCTGTGTGCAGACAGGTGTCAGTTCCAGTCTGTCATGGGTGAGCATCGACGAGGCGGTTGAGAACACCATAGAGGTTTGCGTAGTGGATTTAACATGCTAATGGGTTGTGTGTAGCACGGTGACAGGAACGAATCGATGGGAGAATGAAGTCAACAACACACGGGAAATAGGGTGATGAACAACTGGCTAGTGATGCGGAGTGTATGCATGGGCCAGGTGATTTACTATTGAGTAGAATTTTCGGTTGCGCGAAGCTGTCTCAAATGGCAAAGTGGGTGATCACATCTCACAAGCCCGTCCACACACCCTTTTGTATCGTTTGTGCGTATTTGCGATGGGGAAAGCCGGTCATTTTGTGTTAACCTTTCGCTGCGCGTGAAAAACAAATCGCAGTTGTCTGTCCTTTCAAGATAGACTGACAAGACCCATTTGGTCTGACTGAACGCGCCAGGTCTGAGCGTTCGGGCAACATGAGAGGAATTCAAACATCTCAATCCGTCGAAGAGAAAACCGGTCGATTCAAGTATGAAACAGTGCAAAGGGCGTTTCCTTCAAACCGGATCGACCAAGAGTGGACGGGCTTGTCAGGTGTTGTTTTTTATTACACACCAGGGCAGAGTGTGATCAGTAGTCGGGACAGTCCTCGTGGTCACGACGACCTTCTGATCAGTCATGCTAACCGGCATCCTAAGCTACGTGCTTGGAATGGTGAAGAACCACATAAGGCCCCGCTAGATCAGGTGTGGTATAGAACCGAGCAATAGCAAAGCCGCCTACTACCAAAGTTGTGTTCACCTGTTGCCATTTAACAGATTTGTGGGCTAAAAGTGCAACCTAATTGGCGCTAAAAATTTTTCAACAATGTCTTCGCCTAAGTGAATCACCTGGTAGCGTTTGTAATGCATGATTGACTGGTCAGTTTGTGGTAGAATGGAATCAATAAAGAATTTTTTTAACCTGTCGCGGGCTTTCTTACTGCATCTTATTAGGGTGACTAACGAGTCGAATAATTTACAAAATCTGCGTTGCACCGCCGTGTCGCTGTTTAAATCTTGAGTCATTTGCATAGGTGGACTTCCCCTTTTTTTATGGATGGTTAATGATGTATGATTAATGCTGTGATAGGCCTGGTACTCATGATGCTTATCGACACAATGATATAGTGTTTCCTGAACGGTTTTTAAAACCCTTTTTATGATGTTTAAACTCATCTTCAATCGGCATCGACCGTGTCGTCCGATATCCATGAATAAGTGAACTTAACAAGAAATAATTTTTACTCTGAAAAACAATTCCAGACGCTCAACAACGAATTTCACGTGTTTGGAACCTCGTTCATCACTGAGGCGGTCACTTGTTTTGCTCTCTCTTAGCATATTTTTTCCAAGCCTATGCGGTTTTAGCAGCTTCCTCCAAATACCAATATTCAGATGAGGCCATCTGTTCATTCATCTATTGCGGTAAGTGAACTTTTTCACATCCGCCTGTTTTCTGCCGTCATCTAAGTTGGTTTCACCATCCACCTCCCACACAGTTTACTGAAGGTAGTCTAAGTCTGACCAAGGTACGTGTTGGACCTGTGTGTTCCATTTGACCTCTCCGTTCTCTTCCCTCCATCCCGAGTCATTTATTCCTTTCTGATGGTTTACGAATTCCAATCCTTTGTTTCATTCATCCGTCATTTTGCTTCACCTAATCCGCTTTCGGTCTGATACGAACCCATGATTTGTCTAGCCGGAATGAGATTTCGGTCTGTTCACACATTTCTCGTCCGAATGCTTCACACACACACAAACACGTTGAACCAACATGGTCCCGTGGCTCGAATCTCTGATCTGTCTGGTGAATGTGCCACTTCCTTACTAACCTGACGAACGAATGCTCAATCAATCCATGCTTTACGGCATGTCCCACTTTGCTCCGATTACAACGACGACGATGATCATAAACGAAAACGATTGAAAGTGATTGTGGTCCGAATCCGTTCTCAAACATTACTGGGCCATCCGTGTTTGTTTGTTTCACGTTCTCTCTTTCTCACTACCTGCCGAATCAATAATATATATGCACGCCAATATCAACTAGAAAAGCTTTACTGAATGTGATCTCCCCTTTCCAAGCGGGCCCAGACGGGTGTCCCGAACAGAATGTCTTGTTCATAGAAATGACCTTTTAGGTTTATCACGTCTCCGGGGTCTTGTGAATCTATTGACTGTTCACGAATGTGTGATCTGGTATATTTCCAGCCCTACCTGTGTGTTTAGTATCACTTTTGTCCTGTTTTTTAACCTGCCATATCCTGCTCAGATCCAGTGGACTTTTGATACGGTTACCTTTATCCAAGTGTGAAAATCTCCCTGAGATAACCGCATCACATAGCTCAATTAGGTATGGAATATTGAGATAGGTTTGCTACGGTGTATGTTTGACGGTACCTTACTTGCTGCAAATGCGGTCGCTCGCTTGCCTCACGATTTCACGAGTACCGAACAGTACCTCTCTATGTTTACAACGCGCGTGACCGTAAAAATTATTTTATTCTCGCCAAAAGATTCTGGGTGCCGTTGTTCTCACTTCGACGTGCATCATTTAACACTTAACCAATTAGATAGGATGGGCAAATATGCCACAACATGGGAAGAAAATAATCTGTAGAATGTGCTCACAGGTTGTGTGGGTATGTTACTTCCCGCTCGTTCTGTCCAAAGACGGAGGATAACCTCGCGGGGCCCCTAACCGGAGCCTTTGACTAGAATGCCAGACCGGCATGACAGCAGTCCATTGGGAGGCGGTGTCCAGTTCACCGGATCGTGCACTCTTAGGACGGGGTCAAACGTCCAAGGTGCCCAATACACCTGTATATTCAATCGGGCCGATGACCACTGCCATAACCAAGGTGTGGGTGTTCGTGGCTCGTGCACCTCTTCTTTGTTGGTTGGGAATCAGGGTTTTTAGCCAACTTCCTTGCCAGTGGTTCACCGATGCACTACTCAATCAATGATCTATCTCACTTGCCGTAATTGCAAATTGTTATATCTGTTACCCTTAGAACAATTAATCTCAGTGTTGCTTGAATTCTCGGTTTGAAATTGAACCAGTGTTTCATATTCTTCGAGTTTAGTCACTTCCATTTGTGTGAGGAGAAATGTGATCCACGACCGATATCAAATGGGATCAACTTTGTTTGAGTATGCTCGCATGTGTTTGCCTCCCAACATCGTATTCGATTGAGCTGGTTTCTTGCCGAAAATTTTGGATCGATATCGGTTGATCGATCAGTTGTTCCTGTCCTGTTGCCATTGGTCTGTTCATTGGTTTGCAGTTTGCTCCAATCACTTCCCGCTCCAATCACTTCCCATGTCTGATTCACCCCATCACCCCGTCTCATTTGCATGTCTTCGATTTTGAACTGACTCGCAACTTATCGGGAATAGTTGTATTGTTGAACGTCCCTAATCTGTCGGATTTTTTGAAATTTCCATCTGCGCCCCCTCCCCTTCCCTCTTGCCTTGTTCCCTTGTCTTCAGTCCTCGGACGATTCGGAAGTGGCGCATCCGGCTTCATTCACTGGTGCATTGCTTTACTCCTCCTTGGCCAGATCCATGTTTGGTAAACACAAGGTGGGTTTTTCCAACTCTTTACCTCCCATCAACTTGCATTCTGATGAGCAAACTCAAGTGCCTATACCTGGTGTCCTGTTGGCCTCTCACTATACTGCTTCTCTGGTTGTCGCGTCTCTTGGTCATTTTCCGCATTCCATTCTCATCCCGTATTTGTTCAGTATTGTTTCTGCTCTATGGCTCACCCTCACGATTTCTCCAGTTTTTTCAGTACCTGAACAGATAACCTCAGCTTGGGTTCACGTAATCCGATTGACTTGTTATACGCTGCTCATCACCTCTGTGTGTGTGTGTTTGTGGGTTTTGTTTTAACGCAGTCTACTTGAATGGGTTCGTATGTGTTCAGACTAATCGGTTCTGATCCCTAATTCATACACAACCGCATCAGACTCACTGAGTTCAGTTCTTACATTCATTAACGATGCACTTTCGTGCGCCCGTTTTGGTTGCTGTCTTATGGTGCCCCATGTGGATAAAAGAGCAGAATGAAGATTGGAATGTTGAAAGCTAATTCAAACAGAAGATAGAGAATTCATATAGACTAAATGTTAAGAGAATAATGAATAGATGTATGAGCGCCACTGTTTGCGACATCCGTATCACTCAGTGTCTCTAACGATCGGCGATCATCCCGATGTCCCCAGCTAGGGAGTCTAACGAGGCGTACGTGACCCCGTCTCCTGGTTAGGGTTTTCATACTGTCACGTCAAGTCTTCGTTTGACTATCTTTGATTCTTTTCCAAGCGCTACCTGCCTCGGCAAACATCGCTCGCCGTGTTGGATGCGTAACACATGCCCCAATCAACGTAATCTATGGAGATCGATCATTTGCTCCAGTGGACGACCGCGACTGTCTNGCTTAACCTCAGCATCGCTCGTCCGGTTACCCCACCAGACTCGTGCAATACTGTATCGGCAGCGGTGTTCGAACACTGACAATCTATTTTTATCCTGTTCGCGTAGTGGTCGAATCTCTGCACCGTAAAGTAGGACTGGTCAAACTGCAACAGCATATACTCGACCCTTCACAGACTCACGGGTTGTTAGGGTGTTAATTGTATCCGGTATGTGTGTGTAATGGGTCACTGCAATTTTCGGATTATAACCGTTTGCGTTCATTTTTTATGTGTCTTCATCAGTGAACCGATTCAGCAGACAGTGTTATTGACGTTTATGTACACTGTGCTCAGAACTGTCACTGATTCTCTCGCCGGCAATGGTCTGTGAATCACTTAGTCGTCGTAGTGTCGCGAGTTTTGCACTTGTTCCTATACCACCTGCCAGTGATGCAAGTGATTTTTGGTTGTTCTTTTGTTCAGTTGAGATATGATGACCAATTGTTCCACTCTTGTTATCCTCAAAATAGCTTTGACTGGTTGCATGGGTTACNGGTTACGTGTTGTGTATCACTTTGCTCATTCCACCCTGATGGTTCGTGGTACCGGTTCTCTCTTCTCTTTTTTTCGCCATACAGAATACTTCAAGTGAAAAGTTTATGGTGCGTATGTGCGTTTTTGCAACGCATGTTCACTGACCAATATTCTGATTGATTTGTGCAAAAATGAATCGTTTCAATTGGTATCATACTCGTGCATACGTGATTTATCCGCAATGACATAGTTTAGATATGATCCGCTTGTTTTTGAGTTTATGGACACGTGTAAATGATGGGAATCTGATTTGTCGGGCACACCGATAAACTATTCTGTGGATCTCGTCGGTCAGTCCTCGATGTTCGTGCTTTGTGCTCTGTGAGGTCTCACTGTCCCTACTTGTCTCTCCCCTCGATCTCTATCTCTGGTTTCGGGCAATCGGAGACCAGTTGACGCAAATTGATTGATCTTAGTTAATATAATAATCGGTGTGTTGGATTAATTTGTCGTATGCTTCATTCAGAAATCCGCAACCCGGAGATGACAAGGGATGGAACCGATTCGATTTCCGTGCCTAATCAACGGCATATTTTTGATCTATGTTTTCAACCCGCGCTAATCTAAATTGTCTCCGACGGGGTTTGGCGATGTTATAGCAGCTCCTAGGGATTCTTGGTTGACATTTTTAGTGTTTTTACGCGCGCTCACATACACACACACACACACCACCGGTTACTGTAGTCAGTCGCGCCGATATATTTGATCCTCCCCCTGAATTATATGTCATATGGTTTACATTTGTTTAAAATGTGTGAACGTTTTTCCGGCATCTATTTTCCTGGTAAATAGCGATTTATTTTCCGTTTTCTTTTTTTTCCGTCTCTCTCTCTCTTTCTGTTCACGGAATGTCATTTTATCAACATTCGGTTCATACCGATGTTCGACGTTTCTCTCTCATTTCGTCCGCGTGATGCGTCCCCTCCCTCCCTCCCTCGCTCCCTCTCTCTCTCTCATTCGTTTATTTTGTGCACGCCTGACCATTGTCTCCGCACCATGTCACATTTCATTTATCATTCTTGTGGCCAATTTCCTCGACTTCGGTGTGTCACCGATTCACCGTTCTTGGCTATGACGCGACCGTTCGAATCCATTCCATCTATCGTTCCTTGTCCTCCCTTTCCTGTGCTCTTCCAATTTGTGTTCGATATCCGTTGTTTGGCGCGAACTCCTCCAGACCGCTCGTGTCTCCAGCCTTGCGTCCTGTCACACATCCAGTGAGGACGATGAGGGCGATACGCAAGCGGATCGTGCGGAACCGTATTCCGGTTCGATCGAGCTGGGTCAGGACACTTTGTCCTTGATTTCACACTCTACCACTGCCACATCTGGCACAGTGATAACAACAAACACAGAACGAGGGTCTACCAAGTCCAAATGGACGCGATCTCGCGGCACCGGTGCCCAAAAACGTACCGGATCTGTGAAAACGCGTGCCACGAAGCGTATGACCCGCACGCAACCGAAACCTCGTTTTGCTGGCAAACATAAGGTGGTCACTGGTTTCGCTACTCGCTTGACTTTACCGCTTGGTGCGCGCACGCGTGTCTCTCTAATACCACGCTTCAACAGTAGACGTCGTTAGGGATGACTGGCCAGTAGTAGNGTGTGTATGTGTATTTGGGCTGTTTTGATTGTGGTGACCGCGCTGTTGTGCCATACACGTTGATCGACTATTGCAAAAGAATTGTAATCTGATTGTTCTCAATCGATCAATTCTGCCATCATGCTATCTGTGTTTGACATTCGTGTGAACTTTGGTGTCATGCATTGCGGTCGCATAACGACGGTGTGACGTTCTGTGTTGCTTTAAATCACGACTCAGACTTAGGAATGTACAATTGGTCGGAGAAAATGCTACTCTCTCTCTCCAGTACTAGTTGAGTACCAGTTCTTTTTCTCGTCTCTGTGATATATGTGTAGAATACAGATGGACTGCAAAGTTGATCGTTTCACGGTGTTTTCTGATGCATACATCATTGTGGACTATAGCTTTGGATGTTGGTGTATACCTGCCTTAGCAGTTTTTTTTATTGCACTCATCCACGCCATTCTTTTTTTGCACCGTCCCTCGCTTTGTCACTCATTCCACTAATTCCATTATTCTCGTTTTTCCATTCCTTCTCTTTCGCTTTGGATTTTGTCACGCTCTTGTGTGATCCGTGATTTGTTGTGAACCGGTTTTTTGATTGTGCAACATTTTTTTTCTCCATTGGTGCTTCTTACCATTCGTCATTGAATACACATAATCACATCCAGTGCAGTCGAACTATCTACGTTACTCATAACTTGCATGCTATCATCCTCTAATGCAATAGCGAGTGCTTGCCCGGCCATATCAACGTGTGTGGAGTCCCACAAACATGTATTACGCTGATCACTAGTCCGCTCTCCCTGCAGCCTCTAACTGTTTCGCTTGTGTATCTCTGTCCCAATTGGCGAGTAAGATTAGACTCGTGGCTTGTTTTCTCGTTCATATGACCACACTTTCTTGGACCTGATCTCTGTCTTTGTTGATCACATTACACGGTGCCCCCCCCCCGCTGTAGGCCTCGCTTCGTGTGGATGATTCGCAATGGTCGGATCGGTTCTCACTAGACACAGTAGGCAGTTCCGGCCGAGTAAACTGCAAGACAAAAGAAAAGATCACTTATGAGGTAAGCATTGCTGTGTCTACTCTGCACTGTCCTCCTCTCATTCACCTATTAACTAACCATACGTAGCAGTCCGATTTCAATTAATGCCTGTTCACCTTTAGTCCTTGCGATCGATTTTTCGCAAGCAACGAGAAGTCGTCCTATTCTTTTCGCCCATGTACAGCGTGCAAAAAGAAACGCTGTCAGTGTGAGCCCCCGACAAGGAGGCTGTTTCCGAAAGAGCCACGTTTTCCTGTTATTAATCAACTGATGCTAACACATACTATTGCTCCAAAAACCTCCATATGGTCTGGGGTGGGTGTCTAGGGTTGCATATGGTCAACCTTCCTTTGAACCTCACGAAATGCTCTCATACGATCAAACATCTCGAATAGCCTCTAACGAGGAAGCCTTACTCACTGCCTTCGCGCGGCGGTGTTTCCCCACCAAAGTGAGGGGAAGTAAAGCCGATATCCGGGTTTATAACCTGGCTGGTGGACCACTAGTGGATTTGGCTAAAAGCACTGATTCCAAACCAACCAAGAAGGGGCGCAAGAACCACGCACACCTTCCTAGCTGTGGCAATGGTCAATTGCTCAGTTAGGCATCGAGGAGTATTGGGCACCTTGGACCTTTGACTCCGTCCAAAGGGGATATGATCCGATGAACTGGACACCGGCCCCCAATGGATTGGGGTTTCCACACACCGCCCCGCTGCATTGCGGATCAGACTTTGGCTATCCGAAGGCTCCGGTTGTGGATTCCTCAAAAAAAATTCACCTGCCCACATTCAAATCGTGGAACGTTTTTTCTTATTTATAAAAATCATTGTACCATGATTTGCTTGGTGTGAAAATCCTCACCAGGAGACTGGGTCACATAGGTCTCGTTAGGCTCTCTGACTGGGGACCC